GACCGCTGATGAGGCGAATGTGGCACGGACTCACCATGGCCATCGTTTGGAGATGGATGTAGGAGCGAGGTGATACTTACTTCCCACTGCCGGCCTCGCGCAAGAGACACAATTCGGAAGCAGGTTCACAAGGAGATGCGGCAGCGGAACAAAACAGTGGACCTCGTCCATACCTGACGACTGATCGGAACCCCTTGGATTTCCATCTACAATTTATTGGTAGTATCCACGGCCTTTTCCGCTGACCCTCAGCCTCCGTCGCCTGCGTGTGGGTGGCGTCGTAGAAACGAATGAACGAGTGTCGCTGCTTAGTACACGATGACGATTGTGTTCGGACCTTTGTCTCTGCAAAGATGGTCGCGTCAGAGGTAGCACTCGATCCATCGATTCTCCTATGTTCTCATCGTATCCCACGTCGAATGCTCTGGAGTCTCCGCTTTGTTCTCAGTGTATCAAGGTATCGCAGTGCTCCATCCAATCTAAGTATCAATAACATTGCTTGCCGTCTTCATTCTTTCGTTCATAGAACCAGAACCCCACTATCCAGCGTCCCAGCACAATATTTCCGTCAAACTCGAGGCCTAGATTTCACGCACGACATTGGTATCAGAATGGGACGGGTTCTTGTGCTTCTCTGGAAGACGTCGGATGTATTACGCGGTCTCGATGCAATCTAGTCTGGTGCTCACATCTCCATCCTAGCAGGTTGAAAAGGTCGCATTTAATTGAGCGTGAGTCTACGCCAGGCTGTCTCGCTGTCTACGATCTCTCCTATTTCAGATGGCTTTCTCCCTAGGGTTAACGATGCTGATTGAACTCTACCCTAGCCTCGGATAGCAATGTCTCAGCGCGCGTTACCGTGCACACGCCCTGCATCGTCCACAATAGCTTCTCTGGACTGGTGGATATCCGGACTTTGTCTATACAACATATAGCGTCTTGTCTGTGCTTCAAACGAGAGCCAAAGCGGCACCTGAACTGCATTCTGTGCATATCGAAGTATACGCAGACTGCCGGTGTCAGTGTTCACACAGGAGACTCGATCCGACACTTGTAGGGAAGTAATAGCCTGGTAGCCTTAGGAGAGAGAGGGATATCGCACTGGGCACACGGCGGGGATTCGATGGATGAGGATTCAACATGACAGCCGCATCTGGGGCCGGCAGTGAGCATCGCACTGCTGGAACAGCTCCGCACCACGTTCGATCGAAAGGCCCACGTCATCGATGCGCACCTTCGCCGACGCCGCCTGCGTGTGGAGCTGTCGTGGTCATTGCAAGTCGGGCACCGGTATCGGCGGCGAGGCCAAAAACGGATCAACAACGATCGAATCCGGAAAGTGGGCGGTGACGTGCGGTGCGATGTCCAAATGCGTACGCGTTCGATTTGTTCTCCGTCTGCATTCTCCCGCGTCGCCTGCACAGGTCCCCAGCTGTGCGCCATCCCTCAAATGCTTAGGGTACAAGGTCCTGCCGCTCCGTGTCAATCCTCTCAGCAGCCAGCCTGGTCGGATGGTCATACTGGCTCGGTGCTACGAACCTGCTCTGGTCGGATCACAGCGACTGCCTTCGACATTCGTGAGGCCAGAATGCGTCGGCGCTGGGCTTGTGCAGGCAGGAATTTGATGTGCGAGGGAGCAGGAACATGGCCATTATCCGATGCAGCCACGGATCAGCGAGTCCTCTCCGCTACGACCACGCACGCACGCGACAGTCAAACAGGCTCCGACTCCCTTTTCCCGCCGCCTGTCTCTCCGCATTGCTGCCCACTCTACCCGCCAGATGCAGTGAGTACCCCACATCCATCCCATTGGGACACACTCACTACCCATTGAAATTCGCTCCCCGCCACGCAGGTACATCCGCCGCTTCCTCTTCAACACCGTGTGCTATGTCTTTGTGTGCTCCTGCCTTGCCATATAGGTATGAGTCCTTATCATTGCGTCTCCATCCTGTCCCTCCATTGAATCATACGCTTAGCAGAGACGGGACGGCGAGGAAGACGGTCTACGAAGCTCCGCGCGCATACCGACTCGGCGTCCACGGGCCATCGTCGTCATCTACACACCCAACGTCCTTGCCGCCGGTAACAGGATAGTCGTCACTCTGAAAAGGCTCACAAGCCTGCATCCATCGTCCTAGGCATTTTTCGCGGAGCGCACGCGAGCCTCCTGTGCACAACGCCGCTCTTCGTTCCCCGCCCATCTGCTACCGAGTCCGGGGTCGTCCTGTCTGATAAACATCTACCGCTGCTGGGATAGCCCAGGTATGTGCGTCGTCGTGCGGGTGAACGACCACACTCCTGCTGCAAGTTGGTTGGGACGAGCACGGTCTAGGATCCGAAAATCAGCCAAGGTGGGAAAACTCCAATCTCCCCATGCTTAATACTCGTATTTGTGTGAAAGCGGCAGCAGAGCCTGTAGAGAAGCGGGCGCAGCACAGGGAAGGGATGCCTGTGCAATGGGTTCTTCCAGGTCTGCCGGGACACTGAGGCGAAGCAAGCGTGCTCACCTGCGTCTGTAGTGTGACGCATCCTACAGAGTACGCACATCTCTGCACTTGGGAGCGCATGATGATGCTGCCGTTGCGGAACGCTTGACAGTGTCAAGACTTGCGTTCATAGTTGCTGGACGCGGACCGAGGCGCATCATGTGCACGCAGTGGAAAGGATACAAGTGGCTTGCGTGTGTCCGTCAATCCCGGCTATTGACGAAGCGGGCCACTGACCTCCGCGCACCATGTCCTGTGATTGTGTACTTCACACATTCTGTCCCGCCCCATGTGTGTCGCTGCTCCGACAGACCGTCCTTAACATACCCTACATTCCTGCGTCATCCCTAGACATCCTTTCCAGTTGCTTGTCTCTCCACGCCAGAGTCCCACTTCCGAACACTTGCGAGGGCGGCTGCGCAGGAGAGTTGCATCGTAGCGGAAATCGCATGCTAGACACGGTATTTTGTACGAAGAGAACGAGACATGTTATTTATGAAGTGCGGGGTGAAAGTGTAGTGAGCCTTCTTCGTCATGACCTCGCATGTCTGCCCAACTGGCTCCACGCCTTTTCCTCCATTGTCCGTCTCTCTGCGTCATCGCTTGCGCCGTCCCGCCTGCCAGATGCCCCGCGTACCCTCTACCATTCTCTCCGCGGCGCGCTCCGTCACACTGGCACATTCTGCATCCACTGCATCCCCTTTCTCGTTAAAACCGTGTGGCATCGTCTGACCGATCGTCGTCGGCGCTCACGGAAAACACCTGACAGAGTCTGCGCTAGCCTGTGGATGTCATCATCGACGTTTCCCGCTATTCCACCAGGGTGTTTACTCTGTCTAGATACGTTGTGTCCGATTGTGCGCACCGGATCGTCCCCGGGGATATCGCCTGATTGCGCGACCTTCCTCTCGCTCCCTTCGGAGGCCCGCACGGCTACGCAGCGCGTATGCACTGTGCTCGTGCGCGCGACGGGAACGAAAAACAGAAAAGGGGGAAAGGCCATCGTAGTCGTTAGATGCGGGGTGCGAGTGCCATCCGGCGTTTCTGCCATGCGCTCATCCACTATCCATCTCGCCTCTCCTCCCACTTATATGACCACTTTTGATTGACTGCAAGTTACTGAGAGTGTCGCTGTATGTATGTGAAATATTTAACGTACTTGAAGTTTTAGAGATGCACGGCGCGTGGAGTAATGATCTGCGGTGTCCCAGGGTATGCACCGAGTGGAATGTGAGCGATTCGAGCAGGCGGAAGAAAGAGAGTATATGCATACCGAGTTCGAGGGAGGGGGAAGTCCGGAGCCGATTCCGAGCACTTGCACCCTGGTTCACGTTCAGCTATTCCATGCCAGTGTGTTCTTTGTTCGCAGAGGCCGTGCTAGATTTTCGACGGCGTCGGCGTCGGCGTCGAATTCGGACGTCATCGGCCTCGTTGCTGCCCACAAAGCGGTCGTATTCTTCGTACTGCATCAATCACATCGGAGCAGCCCCGACTCGCGCGAGAACGACTAGACTGGGTGCCCCATGAGGACGGCCCGCACAGGAGAGGAATGTTGACCTGAACACACGGATGCTACCGATGGCTGCTCAGGCTCGTCGCCGGCGCAGCCCCACATCAGCTCCGATGGAAATGCCCTTCTTCCTCGGATTCCCCGATGTCCACCGTCTCCTTCGCCGACGCCGGACTCGACAAGTCGGGCGACGCAGGTTATGGCTCAACGACGATCGAATCCGGAAGGAGGGCGGCCTTCCTCTCGTGCCCCTTCGGAGGCTCGCACAGCCGATCAGAGTGTCTGCACTGTGCTTGTGCGCGCGACGGGAACGAAAAACAGGAAATGGGCAAGGGGACATCGTAGTCGTTAGATGCGGGGTGCGAGTACCATCCGGTGCTCCCGCCATTCGCTCGTCCGCCGTCCACCTCGCCTCTCCTCCCGCTTGTATGACCGCTTTTACAGACAGTTCCTGAGAGTATCGATGTATGTATGGGAAAGATAAGACGTACTGGAAGTTTTGGAGATCCACAGCCCGTGCAGTAATTACCTGTGGGGTGTTAAGGTCTGCACAGAGTGGGGTGCGAGATATTCAGGCCCACAGATGAAAGACTAGACATGTAATTCCCGGTATGCAAGTATTATCGTTAAGATATGCCAGTGGCCTGCAGGGAACACTGCTCAATAATCTTCAAGCTCACCGCGAACAGGCTGCTGGAGAGCCGTTCGGAAGACGCTGGGCGTCGGTAGTTGCCGGCACGGCATCTAAGATCATTCGCCTTGCGTGGTCGTCCCTCTGAGTCCTATCCGGTCCTCTCGCCTAACGAAACTTCATATTCCTGACAAATCAATCATTGCTAAAATAGATACATTTAGATGGCAGATGAATATGCAAGTAACTTTGTCACCATGTGGGTAACCTACATCATCTTAAGCTGAGCATCTGTCACTACCCAGTACTGATCAACTTTCCTGCTAGTGTGCCTCCTATCCTCATATCACGGTTCATGTTCAATCTTCGAATGGCCTCTGAATCTGCACAAACTCTGAATCCCTCCTCTGGATTCATTGCTGAAGAACTCCATATGCAGACAATGAGTGCCAACTTTGAGACAAGTCTTGTTGGAGATATGGGTGGACCTCTTGCCTATGGTTTACCTTTGCCAGCAGATGACAAGTGCTGCGTGGAGGAGGATGACTTGCCCAGGTCAACTCATGGTAGTTCACCAGCTGATGAGGACATCGAGCTAGTCGAAATTAGACAGGAAGGACTGGCAGATGAAATAGTATGTAGAACGCGCGCATACTCTCCGCATGTGTCCCCGATACTTAATTCTTACGAGCAGCCACACGAAGGCACTCAAGTCGACAATGCATCCCTCCTGAACGCTATCGTCTAGGTTGTCGGGTCGAGTGCATTCAGGTGAGAATAACACTTGTCTTGGTTCCGCCCTGCATTGAACGCGTTGTGATCGTAATAGACTGCCCACAGAATGGAAATGGTGGCTGTCATGTACCTCGATTAGCGAACTATTTATCTGTGGCTCCCATTTCACCGTGATATTGAATATTGTCATGCCGGACACTTACCCCAGTTGATACCGTATGACGACAAGTATTCCAGTTCTCACTCAGCATCTGCCGCGTTATGATCACGATACTCCAGTACCTCCTTCGCAGCGTCATTTTCCTCTCTGTAAAGTCGTCAACTATGGCTATGAGAAGCTCACCAAGAAATTCGAACGGATGCTTATGCGGCACGGAGGAAGAGGCTCTGATATATTGGGTGAGAGGAATTGCAATCGGTGTAGAACGAATGGAAGCGCATCAACGGAAGGCGACACGCGAGCATACTTGACCTCCAGTGTACGCAGAACAGAAATGAAGTGAAGCACACTTGGCATACGTAGATGCACCCTCCG